CTGTTGGACTACCCAACGTTAAAACCACACACTTGTCACACGAGAAAAAGTTTTGGATTGCAATTCCTGTGTGATGGGATCTAACTAACATAAGTGAAACTGTAAGGCATGCTTTTGTCTGGTTAATAATCAAACAACAGCGAGATGTTAGTAAGAGCAGCAGGTTGACTGATAAAGCGTCAACGTTGTTAGTATCGTCACCAGGAGAGGTTAGTATTGGAGCTGAGGTTTGCATGGCTTCTATCTTACTGTACAACACACAAGTGGGGATAACAAGCCAAGCACTCACCTGCAGAGGTTGACCAGACAGACCACACTCAGATGATAAAAACTGATCCCTAAGACATGTCGATTAAGCCTGTTTGGAATCAGATCAGGATCAAATTTTCAAAAACTCTTCACTATGCGCTCAACCCAGTTTGATATCATCTGCTCTGTTCTTTTTTCCCCTGTGGCCATTAACTTTTCCCTTTCCAAGTCCTGAAACCCTTCTTTGCAGCATTGCTCAATCAACTTCGTCTTGATAAATAATCAGAATGGGGAATTTCTAACAGAAGGATTGCAGGATCATGCGAGAGAAGTGTGTGCCTTAGACTGTGGGCGTAAAGCAGAGGGTTAGTTTGTGGGTTAGAAGTGCAAGCCATCAGCATTCTCAACACAGGTTAGTAATCCTCCAACTGTTAGACATTAGTATTGTTAGAGATTAGTAAGATACTGTTAGTAAAATCCAGGCCTGGGTAAACGGCTATTTACATATAATTATTAGCATTTGCAGCAATTTGGTAAAGTGCTAAATGATGGAGCTGCTGGCATCTAGACTGTTTAATTTATGCCAGCAGGCATCATTTAGACAACTGCACACCCATAATTTCCAATGACATCCCTGTGATCTAGATCAAGAGAGTAACTACTGCCTCTGCATGGATGTAACAAATGCTAAGAATCATTAGTAAATAATGTTTTATCCCTTTTCTGGTACATTCAGCGACTAAAAGAATAATAGTTTTAGCTTCAGGCCCATCATGAATACACTATATCCGACTGAAGTGACACACATGCACAAACAAGTACAAATGCCTACACAAATGAAGCACATGCAAAGAAACACATGCACTCACACAGACACTCCCACACATATCACACTCTTATACGCACGCACCACAGTGCGTGTTGTGAATCGTGCCGTAAAAATAAGCCCTATGAATCACACCAACTTCAGCTGTTTCACAGCAAACAACACAGTGAGAATTACACCTTAGTAGAAGGTGTGAAAACAGTCATTGTTACACTCTGCCACGCAATATTTTGGTCCTTACATGCCTTATATATAGCAGCTGTCTGCATCTGGATGCCCCCTGGATACATGGTAGCTTTCATAGTATGGTACAGAAGATACCAGCTAAATTCTTGTTTGAGTAAAACATGTTCCAGGCATGGAGAACTGAATCAATTGTTAGAAAAAAATCTTAAACTGTTCGAAAATAAAGACGTCGGCTCAAGAAAGCAGCAGCAGTTACAAGGCAGGGGGTGAATTAAGCAGCAAGACATGAAGAAAACAGCAGGAAGGGGATAAACACCACACATGAAATGCCTTCCTGCTAATTCTCATCACACTGACAATACATGAAAAGTAAAGGCTAAATCAGCATCTCTTCTCACTGATAATAAAAAAAATTGGCAGAAGTTGGCTCTTGTCGCAGGAACACTTAAATGGATTTTCTTTCTCAGGGTGCTTGACAGCCGAAATGGCACCATGTGTCACTCACTGCAAGGAAAACAGGGCAGACACAGCAAGTGATGGTTAGACTTTTAGACTTCTCACATCCAAAAATTAACATTTTTCTGCTGATGTCTTTTACACAACTTGCTGTTCACATAACCATTTTTTGCCTGCTCTAATGAACATGCATATATATGTTTTCTTTCTGGAAAAATCATAAATAATGCTGAATCTTAGAGAGGGATTAAGTTAATCAGATTCTGTCATGGTCTGTACTTTGAGGTAGGTTTATCTTCTCTCTTTACCATAATCCTTGAGAGGACAGCAACTTATAACAGGAAGTGTGGCAGTGATTTAACACACAACTAATCTCCGTTTTTTAAACACTCTCCACAAGCACAGCAGCTAGACACAAACAGACATGGACACACTCTGCACGTAGGAAAGAAGTGTCCATAGAAACTGGCCCTGTGGTTTGGATTCATCTAGACTTATATAACAAGTAACAGTGCAGAGTGAGTATAAAGTGAATATGAGGGAAATAAATGTCACAGTGGTGTAAATCTGACAGATCTTGTACCGGTCAGCGAGGCAGCCCAGCAGAGGACGATGAAGTGATGCCACCAGAAGGTACAGTGGGGTTCTGTTGAGACCATCTGCTTGTTCATCAGTGTAACTGGAGAAGAACACATAACACAAAGCAGCAGAAAAGTGGGACGCAACCCAGCTGTCCTCCAAAGTTCCCCAGAGGAAGCAGGCATACTCTTTTAATCAATGTTTTTTTTATTTCATCCCAGATAAGCAAGACTGATCAAACAAGTTACTCAAGTTGATGCATATATAACTGAGTGTGGGTTTATTGATATTTAACTATAAATCTGTTCCAATAATAAATCAAACTAAGCTCCCAGGTGATTTTAACAAAGTCAATCCAGGATGTACACATAACCTGTCCTGCAGCTGGTCCTCAAGGTGTCCTGATAGCTGTTCTGCCAGCTGCTATGGAAATGAATCCAATCCTTTGAACATGGCAAGGGCACCTAAAAAAACACAAAAGTGAATAAGTTAATCAACAGATCATCAGATGCTGAGATTTATTTGATTTATAGGTTTCATAATGCCACATTTTGTCAATAAGTGCATGAACAGATCACGGCAAACATGGTACATGACAAACAATTTGTGGTGTAGAAGGATAATTTACATCGTTTGTGGAGCAAAATCCGAAGTAACGTCAGAGGTATCCCTATAACCATATATCCATATCAACCATGCATAGTGGGATTACAGGCCGTCGTCTGCAACACGGAAGTCAGTGGGCTGCCTATTTCAGAATTGGCATCTTCTAGTTTTAATAGTCTGGTTATCACACAAATTAAGTTTTAAAAAAAACTTTACTGCAATCGCATAACAGATTAATCATAAACAATGTTATTCCATCCCATACCCAGTGGTCTCCAGCTCCCATGCACCTGTATCACAGCGTCATGCGGTGCGAAAGAAAAATCGCAGCCTCTTGGTCTTTTCTTTCTTCTTCCATCCCGAAAGCAAAATGCTCGACGTGCTGGAAAAGCGTCGACGCCCGCCAGCAAAAGCTGCCCGCTCCAAACACCGAGCTGCAAGTGAGGCTGAGGGGTCCTCTGCATGGCTGCCGAACCGAGGCAGGCAGATGTGGGAGTGCCGACGACAGCTGCGCACTGCCGGGGAGTCCGGTCCGGCCAGAGCGAGGTCCAGCGGAGGCGCAAACAGCCGGACAAAGCAAATGAGCCGGAGGGATTCATGAAAACAGTGGCTCCCTTTGACTGCGCAGAAATCTGAATTAATCGGCGGTCTCGGTCTCCAGCTGCTGCCACAGGTTTATGGTCCTTTGTGTGCAGCACCCCCCC